TCCTGACGTAGAGAAACCTTGGTAATATGTGCTCTGGGTTCCTGCAACTGAATTCAGGAGTGATTTATGCAGCAACAGATGACTCACACAGCCTCGGTCCCGAGTTTGCCTGCAGCCATACAAGAGAATATTTTTACATTGAAAAAACACGCGAAGGTGCAGTGACAATATAAAAACAACTTTTCAAGAGGCGATTGCTTCAGATTTAATCACACTGCTGAAGATGTGTGGGGATTTGGCCTTGGGCGCCATGTCTACAGACTGACTGAATTTCAAGAGGTGTGTGTTCTTTAGAAAGGCATTCTGGACGGAACTGGGACTTTGTCAAGGATGTTAGCATGAGGGGTTATTTGCTTAACCAAAGTTACGCTGCTCCATGCATCTCTCATTAAGCTGGTTAGATGTTAGTGCATCTCTGGATCAGCTGGGGAGCTTATGGAAACATGCCAATTACTGGGGGGCGGGAATCTGAAGGTAGCCATTATCCTTAGCAATTCTGATGGAAGGCATTGAACTACTTGGAAAAATCACTTAAAGAAACAACCTCGATACTGCCTGTAATCAAATGTTGAAAACATTGGGTCAAAGTCAATGTCCTTCAAGCCACCCAGGGCTCAGTGCATGGATGAGTATTGTGGTCATTCCCCATCATCCTTCCCCAGAAAGAAAGAAGAATGAGGACAGGTAACCATTTCATGGGCTAGACAGCTCTTTTGTAAAAATAAGGAGATGGCTCTATCTTGTGATGGTCAATGCACTTCAGTCCCTTCTGGTCTCGGTCCTTCAGGCTCTTGGCACGTGCTCAGCAAGAGTGGTCCTCAAACCTGCACCCGTGCAGGGACCACCTGGAGATCTTGGTCAAAATGCAGACCCTGGTGCCCCAGGTCTGGGAGGGGTGCGCCTGAGCCTCTGCATTTGGGATGGATTTCTGTGTGCTGCTGAGCCCGTTGGCTCAAGAAGCCCATTTTGAGTAGATCTAAATGTCTGGAAGCCTTGGGTAATCCAAACTAGAGTAACTCACACATAGGTAAGCACACGATTTCAACAAATAACAGATTGCTTTATCATGAACAATTCTTTTTTTCAAGGCGCCCTGGTGGTGTCATGGTCTATGCATTGGGCTGCTAATGGAAAGATCAACAGTTCAAGCCCACCAGCCAGCCGCTCTGCTGGAGGAAAATGAGGCCGTGGGCACCCATAAAAAGGTCCAGCCTTGGAAACCTGACGGAGCAGTTCTATTCTGCCTGATAGGGTCACTGTGAGTTGAAATTCACTGGATGGCAGTGGGCACCCCTTCTTTCAAGGAGCCCTGAAGGTACTGTGTCTTAGGGATGGGGCTGCTAACCACAAGGTGGGGATTTTAAATCCACCAGCCACTCCAAAAGAGAAAGACCAGACTGTCTCAAAAACCCTAAATAGATTGGCTGCGTCAGAATTGACTCAATAACAGTGGGGTTTTTTTTAATTCCTTCCTTCATCACAACTGTTATTTCATCCCCATGAGTCCCAGCCCCAGAGGCAACATCACCCAGCAATGAATTCTCAAGTGGCCATCCATCTTGTCATTTCCTATAGACCCAGAGGGGATCTCTGGGTGATGTAAATGATTAAGCATTTGCTTATTAAGCAGAAGATTGGAGGTTCAAGTCCACCCAGAGGCACCTCAGAATAAAGGCCTGGCCACAACTCGGCTACTGAGAACCTTCTGGAGCACACCTCTACCCTGACATGCACGGAGTTGCCCTGAGTCAGAATCAACTCCTGAGCCACTGACTTGGGTCTAAAGGAGATGTGGACGTGGCTGGCCCAAGGACATTAAAAGCACCAGCAAAAGATACAGAGGCTGGAGGAGTCACTATCAAAGTCCTGTTGACAAAAATCGCACTGGGAAACTGGACCAAACAAGCAAACCCACAGCAAGGTCAAGGCAAAGGGGCCTGGAGCTACGTTGACTTTTCTTACGGTTGAGTAAGAACATTTACTTTCCTAACTGTGGGGTTAGGAAAGGGGAGGCATTTTCCTTTGGCAAACATTTTCTGGTCACCCTGTATGAAAACTTTCCACCTCCAGCCCCCACCCAGGGACAGAAACAGAAATCTGAAAAAAGAAAAAAAGAACGAGGGACTTCAGAGCCATATGGAAGTCTCCATTTTCCACCTCCCACCATCTGCTTTGGGATCCAAGTGCAGAATGGCAATGGCTTTGATTTGCAGCCAAGAACAGCGCCGAGCAACGGAAGGGCGATGACTGGGCCTTTGGCATCTTTGCACCGCCACCAGGAAGGTCCACAAGGCCAGCTCCAGACACAAATGTTCCAGTGTGGGTGCCACTGGGGTACCTTTTCTCCCACGAGTTCAGCCAATTCACACGAGAAGTGTAAACAACGTGGGTAGAGACCCTTTAGGGATATGGATGCTAGAAATCAAGTTCAGGGCTTCGGTCTCTACTGCCTGCTCATGGACTTCTCACTTGCCCTATCACCAGCAGCCCGATTCTATTAGTCGCACAATCTGTCATCGCGCCATGTGAGAATTCCAGATGACTCAAAAAAAGCCGAAGGTTATTTGTTGTAAGAAAAAGCGAACTCATTTGGCAGCAAACTCTGTCGTGACCTGAACTCACTTGCTGCTCAACCCCAACCCATATAGACTGGCGGCTGTGTAGTGTTCGTTTCCTCGACGGGAGCTTTCCAGAAGGACAAATCCCTCTTAGTTTTCAACCCCCCACCCCAGATTTCCCAGTGGCCTGGAGTCCCGCAGTGCTTACTCTGCAAAGGAAACCACCTCTCCTCCAGCCCTCCTTTCTGACAGCTGGGGGCAGGGGGGGGGGGCTTTTGTCCCATTCACAAAATGCCTTCTTTCTGGGCCATTGGTTGTGCCCATCAAATAGCACCTTCTTTGTTGTTGCACTGAAGTTGTTCTAAGGCCTGATTTAGAGATCATAAAGTTTCAACTGGACCATGCAACGCTTTTTCGGACATTTCTAGAGTTGGGCAATCACCACCACAATCTAATTTTACAACAGGCCCAGCATCCCCAAAGAACCGGAGAGTTCACTTGCTGTCACTCCCCCCCACCCCACACACATGCCCCGCCCCTGGCAACCACCACTCCATTTTCTGTCTCTAAAGATATGCCAGTTATAGCCATTTCATACACATGCCCTAAAACAAACCCACTGCCACCGACCGATTCTGACTCACAGGGACCCTAGAGGGCAGCATAGAACTCTTCTGTAGGGGTGTACCAGGATTTCTTCTCTTCTGTAGGGGTGTACCAGGATTTCTTCTCTTCTGTAGGGGTGTACCAGGATTTCTTCTCTT